TACAAATTTCAGCTCTAACTTCCCTATGTTCAGTATAAGTGTCTTTTTTATTTCATTTTCCCTATAATTTCGTTGTTGCTCAGATGTTAAGCTCCATGGTATCCTCAGCATCCTTCTGCGGCCTGAATTATCTTTGTCATTTCTGAGGAGATGGTCCATCATTCTCTGCCGTATAAGTCAGTACTCTTATCAATTTAAATGTCGAGTTAAAGAAACCTGCCCCAAATCTATTAGATACATAATAGTCAATAATCTAGAAATAAAAGTAAAAAAAAAAACAAACTAGAAAAAAAAAAATTCCACCCAATCCATAATCTTCTGAGACGCAAAATCATCACCGATATCGTGGACTGTCTCACGCCAGTAGATCCCTAGCGTCTCGGGCTTCGCTATTGACTCTGCAAAACGATTCGTAGTTATCTAACAATGGTAGCTACGTCTCTAATTCTGTCATTTTGTTCAAAAGATTAGTTTTACGTTTTTACTGTATTTTTTAATTCTAGTTCACCTTTCTCTCTGCTGTTCGTTTCAATGGTCATAATAGTTAGGCACTCATTTGCAATTTCTACTCCAAAAGTTTTTTTTTTATTTTATTTTTTCTGGATATCGTTGTTAAATTTTAAATTCGAGTTCAACCTTCTTTATGAAGTCCTTTGGAATAGCAATAATTACCCATATAAAATATTATTCATTTTTAGGATAGTCCACTGTTAAGTTTTAATTCAAGTTCAACTTTCTCTGTGCAGTAAGATAGAATAGAAACAGGGGTTTTCTAAACGTGTCTTAAATATAGCAGAAAGCCGAAAGTATGGAGCTCCCAGTGTAGATCGAACTCACTACTCAATCATAATTGATCTAATAGAGTTTTGAACTGGCCCCTCTACTCTCAAACCTCTCCGATATATGCTTTAATAAACTATATAGCGGATCGTTGGAAAACCTCATGGTCTCATAATTTCACCTTTAAAACTGATAGTTGCAACCTTAATGGTTATGCTAATAGTTTCTTTACATATATTTCTCGCTCTTGAAATCTTCTACTGGCTTGGTGCTTTTGTGTCAACTACGATACTGGATGATTTAAATATAATGTTAATCGCCATCTTGTTTCACTGAATCCTGTTCTCTTATTGTCGTCTACGTCTGTTTCACAATCAGTAGCCTAATGGATCTTAGTGGCTTTTTACGCATTGCTTGAGATGAAATTATTAAAAAAGATATCTTCCATAGACAACAATTAATTAATTAATGAACATTTTGCATTATATTTTAGATATTAATTTATTATATATATATATATATATATATATATATATATATATATATATATAATTCTCAACATGAGTTTGTGTATGTATGTGTGTGTGAGATCGGATGTTGTTTATGTGTTTACACAGTTTTTATCCTATTTCGATATTTTTTTTGTTTGATAGATAATTTTCAGTGCCGGCTTTGAGTCCAAATTGGCTGTAAAAAAAATTATAATCTTGAAGGTGAAACATCGAAAAAAATATTTTTTACACTTTGCGCAAAAAATCAAAGGCAAAATTTAATGTCTGTACAAACAGCGTACAATCAATTTAGAGAGTTGAAATCTAAGGCAAAAAAATTATTAGAATGATAAAAAAAATAAATATAAATAAAAATTATCGTATATCATTATAATGACGGTCCCTGGAAGATGTATTCTAATGACGGTCCTTGCAAGATTGAGAACGCAAAAACGGCCATTTTTCAGGGCCACCCCCATTCAAATTGTTACCCCCTCCCTCATTTGGGGATGTGCCTCAGTTGCACCCAATTGTTGTTACTAATATTGATTTTCGGTTGGGCTGACGTTAAACATAACTACTCCAATTGAACGGAAAAAATTCCCAGTAATGATACACCAAGTCGAAGACGAGTTATATTGCTAGCATATATATATATATATCTACAGTGTAACCCGGATATAAAAGAGTTGTCGGGACCGGAGAAGTCCCTTATATCCGGGTTTAGTCTATTTTATATACATTAACACAGGCTCTAATTTGGGACTAGAAAAAATCTCTCTTATATCCGGATTTTCTCTTATATCCGGGTTACACTGTATATATATATATATATATATATATATATATATATATATGAGTGGTTAGAATGTTTGCTTTTTGACTGTGAGACCCAGAGTCGAATCTCATCATGCCCGATTTGTCTGGAAGGTAACTACTTGATGTTATCGGTCTGGAGGAGTAGATCCTAGCGTACGCCACCTTTGGAAAGTGCCCGAAAATCATACCACGGGTGGAGTGTATCTGGCTAGGCGGAACCTATGGAAGTAGTCGATGGCTATGCTAGCATGAAATCATAAGTCATCGTGACCGAAGTTTTCAACATTGTTCAGAATGTCCATCACATTAGATGACGCGCTCTCTCCCAGAAACTGTAATTACGGTCTGCTCAGCATCAGTCAGTCAGTCATATGCCATGCGTGATACACGCTTAGGCGATCATGTATCTTTCGATACATGACTGACGAGGTAGATTTTTATCCCCCAGTAGGTTGTCATTTCTTTCTGCGGTAGACACGTTGCCATCCAAGGCTATACAACTCAGTCTATCCGGTTATTTACCCATAGCTGGAGAGAGAAGAAGCATAGATGCAGTATAAACCAAGTATATAACCAAATGTGCCTGAACATGCATCTGTTATGGGGGTTAGAAATCCGCCCTAGTAGAGTCCTGGGTATGAAAATAAACTACATGCGCGTCCTGGGTATGGCGATAAACTACATCCGCGTCCTGGGTATGGCGATAAACTACATCCGCGTCCTGGGTATGGCGATAAACTACGTCCAAAAGCAAGGCCTCAGATATTGTTTTCGGAAAAATAATGTTGCCAGCTACACGTTCTTGAAAAAATAATGTTGCCAGCTATACGTTTAATAGTACACTATATATATATATATATATATATATATATATATATATATATATATATATATATATATATATATTTGTATGTATGTATATACCTAGATTTGGCATTAAATGACCTACAGTGGTTGATATGCCATAAAACCCAACCAACCAGCCCTAGTAGACTGGCATCCTCGGATTCGAGTGGCTGTTCTATTTACTTTACTTTAATAATTTTTGTGACTGATTTTTTTTCTTTGCATGAATTTCTGTCATTAATATGCATCCTTACTTGAATTATAGACTGTAGGAATTTTGGTCTTAACTTTGCTGTCGTTATCACAAGGATTCGGCCGTTGAGACATCAGCCATTTTCACTCGTCTGCCGTGATGTGAAACCCTTCAAACTAAACCCTTTTCCTATAATTATCGGAAGTAGATCCTTCCCTTGCATTGTTTTCTCGTTAGAAACTAACAAAAGAGTGCATAACTGTTACGTAATATCGGTCCTTCTATATACAATAAATGCTAGACAACCTCATCCCAGATTAAGAAGCGTCTTGAAATAACCGAAATGTGGTTTTTACAATCGGATGTTGAAAATGCCATGGAGCGAACATATTCTGAGAAAATGGAAACGAAAAGGACATTTATACATGACATAAAAAAAGAAAGAGTTGCAATTTCTTGCCCATATAATGAGGAAAAAAAACGCTTAAAAATGTAACTTAAGGATATATTAAATTCAGAAAGGACATAGAAAAACAGCAAATAACCGAAATAAGAAAGTCGTGCAAATAGCTGACAGAACAGGGATCATGAGAGATAAGAAGACAAGATTTATTAAGAGATAAAAAGGACAGGAAATTGTGTTGAGCCACGAACGATCTCGCACTGAAGGGACACGGCGCATAGAATCAAAAGTCGTAGTAGTAGTTGTGATCAGCTATTGATCGCCCTCAGCTGTACACATAAGACCTAACTCTGTAAATTAAATAAAGGGTTAATTTGGAAATTCCTGGAAGGCTTCTGCAATCAACACGTCAAAAAGGCCTGAGGCCACAACGAACTAAACGTTGGTATATTATCGATGAATATGAGGATATTTGGCTGAATTTACATAATATAAATAAAGATGTTTTTCCGCGTCTCACTTCCGAGACAAAATCTTTGAACTTGCGTATATAACAATTCTGAGGAAGCGTCGCAAACAGAAGAAATCATTTTTTTTCTCATTCTAAATCTGTCCCATTTGAATTTATAGTAAATCGAATTTAGGCTGACTGAACGTCATTTGAAAAATTACTCGACTTCTGTACACCAGCAAATCAGATAAAATAACTCGATGTGTGCAAGAAGCAGTCTCAGAAGAATTTAGGCTAACATTGAATACAATTGAAAGAGAACAACATGTTATACAAGTTTTGATAACCTTTGGGTTTTTTTTTTTAATGTTTGATTTCGTGTAAAAAAACAAAAACAAAAAAAAACGATACTGAGAATCAGAAAGAGACGGCTGAAATTTATTGGATGCATAATGAGGAAAGAGGACTTGGAGAGTTTCATACACACAGGGTATATCGAAAGGAAGATGGAGAGATGGGAGAGGCCCCTTACCTGACAAGCTTATATGAGGGGAATTTCGGAACGGAATCCTGGCAAAAATATCAAAGGTTGCCAAAGTCTACAAGAGATAGAAACTTATGGAGATCCCTGATTACCCATATCCTAAAAAGAGATGGGATGTTGAAGAAGAAAACAGAAGAAGAAGAGGAAGAAAAAGAAGAATGAGAAAATGAAAAAGAGGAAGAAGAAGAAGTTTTATAGCATAGGTGTTGGATTTATTGATTCATTTATTCATTTTCTACACCTTCTCAAACTTTTGAATGTTATTTCAAGCTAGAAAATAATTTATTTTTAAGAATTTGGGAGATATAATTATGATTTAGTGATAAACCCATGGCTGTGGGGAGCATAGGTCGATTCATTCTTTTCACAAGCGTATTTGTGTCAAGGTGAATAGGACCCGGCTGGAATTAGAACTCGGCTCTCCAATTAACAATTCCTATTTATCATCCATTACACCCACTGTGCATCAAAGTTTACAGCATCTGGTATTCCCAATTGGTTACCCATCTAGGTACAGCCCAGGCTCGACTTTGCTTAACTTCGGTGATCTTAAAGTGAAGTGACCGTAAGCGTTTCTATAGATATGGGGAGGAAGAAATATTGGTACACCATGATTTTTTTTTATTATTTAACATAGAGTTTACAAAAGTATTTTAGAATCAATGGAATATTTGTATAGTATGGCATAATTCTGCAATATGCAATTGTTATATTAATGATACTATATGAAATTAAAAATTTTGGAGGCTAAAAATGTATTTGTTTAACATTATAATACCAATTTAATTCTTTGTAGCGCATCCCTTACTTAATTCAACCGCAATCAGTCTCTTTCTAGAGCTTTTTTATCAAGGATTTGCAAGATTCCATTCCTATTTTACTCCATTATTATTTGCATATTCTGTTTCAGTCCAGGATGTTTTTCGGAGCTCTTTTATTAACATGAATTTTTAATAAACGCCACAAATTCTATATTGGATTCAAGTCTGGAGATTGTGATGTCCATTCGTGTGTATTGAAATTGTTTTCCATGAGACATTTTTTCTTAGATTTAGCCGTATGTTTTGGGTCATTTTCTTATTGCAAATCCAATCATTTGAGAGTCCAAGCTTTACTCTTGAACCAACCGAATTAGAGTCCAAGATATCTTCGTACATTTTTGAATTCATTCTACCATTTAGTACCTATAAATTTCCAGTACCATTAGCAGAAAAACATCCCCAAATCATAATACAGCCACCACCAATGTCCTTGGATTACGGTCCAAAAGTTCCATTTTAGCTACATCTGTCCATAAAACACTTTCCAAAAATGATCGCTCGAGAATAAATTTTAAATGTTTCTTCATAATTGTGTTTTTTCTTCTTTTTTCTTTCTTTTTATTATGGAGAACGCGATCTTAGTTGACTTCTATGAAGTTCATTGCTTATTCTTCTTTTCAAAACAATAATATCTGATGCTTTTAATTCTTCTAATATTTATCTCCGGGTAATCATTGGATTTTCTTGAATTTTGTGCTGAATTCTTCGCATTGATCTGGTAGACATCTTGGTGTACCAGATCTCGATTTTTTCTCAACAGTTTTCCTCTTTTTATATTTAGCAATAAAGGAAGTAATAGTAGCAAATGATATATTCAGGACATCTGCTATTTTGCTATAGGTTTTGTCTTCCTTCCAATGTTTGATGATCAATTCTTTTTGCGAATTTGATAGATACTTACCTTTCCCCATGATGATAATTATTGTGTATGATTTGTGTGCGGAGATAACTTTATATAAGATATCAATTGCGGACTGTTCTAGATTGTTCCGGTAATAAGATATTTGGATGGATCTAGCAGAAAACTTACAAAGAATTAAATTAAGGTAATTTAAGCCTTTTGATATTTAAGCCATATTTTGTACGAACACTTTTTTCGCTTCGAAATTTTATAACACATAATTTCAATTTATAACAAATTTTTCTAATTGTTTTTTTCATAATGCAGCATTATGCAATGATGTAGAAATATTGTATGGATTTTGAGTTTTTTTCAGAAGTTATAACTATATTATTTAAAATAATTCATAGTGTACGAATATTTTCCCCATACACACACACACACACATATATATATATATATATATATATATATATATATATATATATATATATATATATATATATATATATATGTGTGTGTGTGTGTGTATATATATATATATATGTGTGTGTGTCTATATATATATATATATATATATATATATATATATATATATATATATATACATACATCAGCACATACATACATTCATACACACACACACTGTCTTTTTTTTGCCATAACACATTTTTAGTTTTGGCATACAGCCTTCTGCTCATTCGAGCTCATAGTTGGTAATATTGTGTTTACGTGATCCAAATTTGGTGTTGATTGCTTCAGTTTTCTTGCTGCTTTTACAAGGTGAACATGGACGCTCCACTAGCAGTGGGCACCAAGAAAGAACAAAGGACAGTGACCCGAATCTGCAGAGCATATGCTGCCTGATCGCTGATAATTCACCGCTTCGTCATTACAATCTCTTAAGCTTGCTGAATCTTCTCGTCAGTGGTGGAGGATGACGGACGTCCTGCTCCTTCTTTGTACGTCACACTCGTCCGGCAACTTTTAAAATTCTCGATGCACTCATACATATTGCCACGCGCTTGCCACCGTATTGTTTTAAAAGGTTCCGATGAATTTCAGCCAGTGACACAAATTCCGGCCCAAAACGTCGGATTACTGACCTTTGTTTCTCCTTGCTACAAGTAAAAACGTTCTGATTATAGTCCCGTATCAGGCATTCAATAACCCGATAAGGGTTGATATTTCGTTTAATTAACCAATCAAACATAAAAGTAAATACATACCATGCTGCTGAATATTTTTAATAATGAGAATTATTTTTATAAAACAAACTGATTGAATATTTACACTGTTTATATTCAAACTAATTTTCTTCATCTTTCTTGTTTTTATCACTATATTTCGCTCATTGTGCCATCCGGCCTTCCTCAGGTGTATCTGAGGAACCTACCGCGAATTCTGAACTGCACCTTTATTTAATCAACGGAGTTGATTGTTCTCATTTCCCTGCTAATGTCTAGAGATATCGCCTGGTACTTATTTCTGTTCAGTACTGTTCAGTTACTCCTGTTTCCATTGAGTAAAAATACATACAGCTCGACCCAGGAATTGAACCCACAATCACTATGTCTCCAAATTCACAAACCAACGCTTTTACCCACTAGACCAATGTGTATTGCATTATGATAATAACATTCTAAATGGACGCGTTACAATATTTTTTAAGCATTTTAGTAGAATTTTTCTTTGAACTAAAAACTGTTGTCAGCGTATTTAAATGACTCTATAGAAGTAAAATACGTTACACCTGATTTTTTTTTCTTAGTTTATTATATCAGCAAGCTCGAGGCTACAAGGTCCACGACGTGATAAGGATGGCCTAACATCATTGACAATTGACAAGATTACTGATAATCGATGTATAGCAAACAACCATGTTTCAATTTACTAATATTGTCATGGGGCGTTTTCCACTCGTCAACGTTATTTTTTTATTAACTGGTGATTTTCTTTTATTCTAAATCGTTTTTGTTATTATTGATTTCATTTTATATTTATTTGGACAAATCATATGAGAGAAAGTCGAGACAATATTGCAAAATCGATAATTGAGATCATTATGAAAAAGATGAATTCTTGTCGAAAAGCCAATTTCAACTGGGGCTTAAAATGGCGTGATTTGCATAAAATAAACTTATAACATTACCCTCACTTTTCTGATGATCATTTCTCTGGAGTTTGCAAATTATCAGTGACGGCAACCTTAGTTAAGTATATACAATTGGATTAGTTGAACAATTCCGTGTGGATTACTATTCTCGTCTACACATATATCTCCTTGTACGTCTTCTAGGCTAAATTCCCGCATTAAGTTAATATATGGAAAACAGTACTTATTTCGGTGTAAAAGACATATACAATTCTTCTTGTTATATTGTGACTAATATTGATATTTCTTAGTGACTACCATAAAGAAGCATTGATCTCATGTGGTTTATAGCGAGAAGGTTACCGGTTATTATGGATGAATATGTAAGCTTTCAAAATGAATGAATTCAACTGGTACGTGGATTTTTATGTCTATACAGTGTGCGATGGATAAATTGTCGTCCTAATTATACAAAAATGTAAATAACAGTGACATCTCATTTTAACACACACACACACACACACACACACACACACACACACACACACATATATATATATATATATATATATATATATATATATATATATAATGGACTCTCCCGTCGGTTTCGACGTATGAGGATCTAACAGCTTATTGATTCAGTTATGAAAGTTTGGGCGATAATCTAAAGTAGCGTTTCAGACCCGCTCATGATTTACAAAGGAGGCTACGTATGTAGCAAGTGTGAGGATTGAGATGAGATCAATGTTAGATTGGCTGACCTTTTAGATCTTGCTCTTGCTTCTTGAATATGATTCAGACAAGCAGATTAAAAATTGCTGAGTCCACTAAAACAATATATATATATATATATATATATATATATATATATATATATATACCAAAATTACACAAAAATAACTTTGAAATACTAAAGAGTAAATATATTCACTCAAAACGCCATTGGCTTCAACCACGGCCTCGAGACAACACCGTAATCTCCTTCAACCTTTCTGGACGGTCTCCTTGTTTAAGTTGGTGAATGCTGCCAGAATCTTTGCCATGGGTTCATCTTTGTTGTTATAAGAAGATTTGTACGTCTGTCGCTCAACTGTGTCTCACACATAATGATAATGGGTTGCAGTCTGGGGAGTTAGGTGGCCAGATGTAAGTGATCATGTGATCGCAGAAACTGTCTGACGGCCATAATTGTGTGCTTCTCCTTGTGTGTCATGGTTCAGAGTCCTCTTCCAATAGCCACCCTCTTTACTACGTCCTCAAAGCACTTAATGTAGACCTCCATGTTGAGTATGAGGACCTCACCTACAAATTCGGGTGTTCTTTTCTTATCAGAACAATCCGAGTGAATTTTCCGAGGTGATGTACATTCGTAATCACTATTAGACTCATGTAACTCTTTCCGAATCCTCTGCCCTGTCCTCAGATTGATAACCAATCACTCTGAAATGTTAGTATTAGAACTTCCGTGCAAATACCAAGCTATACAATATGCTTTTTTTCAAATTTCTGGCCAAGTGAATTAAGTCATGGTGCTCTTTTTCTCCCAGATGGTGCCCAACTAACCTTATTATACTATGCAGCCGACAAAATCAAAAACAAATAACGCGCATGCGCGAAATTAAAAATATAACATGGCGAAAATTTACACATCCCAACCTGAATACACATAGGATATCATAATTAGGAAAAGAGTTTAAAATCTATTTGGGTGAACACAGACAAAAGGGAAATAAAATAATTTCTGTGATTAGTTGTAGTGGCATTGTGTGCATGGGAAGCGCTATGCATTTTGATTGAAC